GTGGTTATACAACATTAAGACCACAACAACTAAATATATTTTTCCTCCAATTATGAAGTATAATTTCATATACATATAAAACATGTATTCCATTGTCCACCCAAGCAGAAACAATGCATTATCATTGAAAACTTATAATTAAGCAATGATGTAATAGAATCCATCATTTAGAACATGCAGGCTCAAGTCCATTGTAGCTAGTTTGTGAGGCTGAAAATTCAAGTGATGTATCATGAGTGATTCCTATAAAAACAGTCTTCCTAATTATTTATGAATGCAGTCATGGGCTTTGAGGTCTTATCCTGCTTTATGGAGATGAGTTTTACATTTGAAACAGAGTACACTTATTAATGGGTCATGTTAATATGAAATCTTCATTACCACATAAATTTTACATTTGTTTGTACATATATATATATATATGTTGATATAGTCAAATAACATAACTCTAAGATGTATTTTCTTTCACATATTTCATACCTAAAATCAGAATATGCTTTAGGATACATAATGATCTCTACTTTATTTGGCAGCATTAAATAATTGAGCAACTCACAACTGGTTGTACCCTGAAGTCACTGACATATACTCTATAGATTATGTAAGACTGTGTAGAGTCTGTAAACTCAGACGTTGCTTCAGTAATTTTAAATCAACACCTTAAGCAAGTCAAAATTAAAGTAAAATACAATGTGCTTGACAATTCATAAACAAAGAAGAATTTCACATACTTTTTAAAATTCATAATATATTGTTATCTTGTTTTCAACCATAACAATCATCCATAGTCCCAAGGTCACAAAAATAAGCCATGGTCTGTTTTGGCCCTTAAGCCATAGTTTCTAAGCCCTGACTTCTAAGAAGATATAGCTTTGAGTAGTAACACATGCCTATGAGCCTAACACTAACGAGGCTGAGGCAAGAGACTGCTCAGACCTACCTAGACTACATAGCTAACACCTGCTTCCAAACAAAGACTAAGCCTAGAGGTGGTGGCACAGACCGTTGATCCCAGCACTCAAGAGGCAGAAGCAGGAAGGAGATCTCTATGAGTCTGAAGCCAGTCTGGTCTACAGAGCGAGTTCCAGGGCAACCAGGGCTACATGGAGGAACTCCATCTTGAAAAACAAAACAAGAAATAAAATGGAAAATAAAATCATTCTCAGCGCCACTTTTCTAAATCCTTTTGGCTTTGGGACAGCCAAGGTTGGCCTGGAACCTACAACTCTTTCCCCGTCTTCCAGAGTACTAGATAGTAAGGCCTTAACCATCACACCTGGAATGGAAGCTGTGAACTGGCCCATGTCCCTGGTAGAGGCGAGAGATGAAAACTTCTTTGCTGTGGTAGGTACCCACTGCAGCCCCCGTGAGTACGTCGCAGATGCTAAGGGCTGCAGTAGGGACTAAAGGGCCCAGCTATACTGTAAATAGATTTCAGCCAGCCAGCGTCTGTGTTTTACAAGGACCGTAACTCCAAAGGTACTCAGCAGTGCAGCGTCTTAGAGGGCTATGAATGGCTCACAAGGCAGGTCTGGAAAAGTGCTGATGGATCCCACATGTTAGACAGCTGTCATCCCTAGCTTTCTCTTTGCACTCACACTTCCTTAATAGCGATTTGCCCACTGGTAAATGTGGTGAAGAAAATGAGAAGAACATGCACATGAACACACACTTGTACAGACACACACACACATACACAAAAATGTGCTAAAGATATTTCAGGGTTATGAAAACTGGTACAGTCTAGTGATTAATTCTTCAAATGTTTTTCGTCTACTTCATATAAGTCATTCTATTACAAGCTCATGAATCAGAAGAACCCATCGTTTTGGACATTCCTTAGCTGGGTGTGGAGGCACCCCTGTAATCTCAGTCTTCAGGAGGTAGAGGAACGGAGATCACAGGTTCCAAGCATGACTGGGTTCCATAGAAAAACCTGAGACTATAAAAACACCAACAAACAAATAAATAAACTGATAGACATTTAATTTAGGGGTAACATTTGGTACAAATACGTAGTGACTATTCTGTATAAATTAATATGCTCTAAAAACACACGAGTCTCGGATAGTCTTAAAATGTTAATATGGGGAAAAGAGAGTTGTGTAAAATTGCTTCCAAGTTATAACATTTCTTATAAACTAGAAAAACCAAAACACTTTCTTATGCTGACACAAATGGCTTCTTTAACTAGTGTTTATTCTTGATATTAATTTGGATAAAAACACATTTGAAGGGTTTTTGTTCAATCTCTTCACTGTTAGCTACAGCACTACAAACTATATTTTAATGGGAGCTGGTTTTACCGTTTTGACGCGCATGAGATAGCAGTTTGGGGAAATGTGTCTGTGCTCGATTTTGCTTCCCATTTCTGACTTTTAAACTCTTTGTCAGAAAGAACTGGGAAGCACTGAAGATGATTAAGCACTTGCCTTTGGGAATTATTTGCAGTTAATTAAAGCTGCACACTCCGGTGTATACTTGATTCGCTGGTTATTAAAGCTGAATCATATGATAACTACCTCGGATTCTCGCTTGTCCATCAAATGTTGCTTGTGGCAGACTGAAGAAACACGCTTTCTCATAATAATTGAAAAACATGATGTTGGAAGCTATCTTCCAGTTCTGAGACGTGGGGGAGGGCGGAAGTGAGGGAGTCAGGGAAGGGAAGCAAACAAACAAACAAAATTTTATTTCAGATTCTATCTGACTTTGCTATCGGGGTCTCAGAACTCAGGTTAAGGGTACAATGAGAGAAAAGAAGCAATTTGTGGGAATTAAGGCAGCGTTTGATGGCTCCAATTTTCTCCCTAGCTGAATGTTGACAAGATCAGCTAGTAATATTTAGGTATCTTGAATTTGTCCCATTGGGCTGTGTAAGAAAGGTATCCTGGATTGCAAGCTTCATGGAGGGAGACACCTATTCACTGTTGGGTATCCAAGGCTAGACCAGCATCTGCCATACAGTTTGTACTCAACAAATACTTGAAAAACGAGTGAAAGGCCTACTTTCTGTATTGCTGCTGACCTATCTATAGGTTCTTTTCAATGTCTTTTGTCAAGATCCTCCAGAGGGCTCACCATCTATCATTGTAGTCTGTCAGGAATTCTTTATTACAGAATACTTTCACCTGTGCAGCTTGTTCTACAGCATGAGCTATAACAATAAAACTGAGCGTGTAGGGCTGACAAGAAAGTCCACCAGGAAAAAGGTGCCTGGCACCAAGCCTGATGACCTGAGCTAAACTCCTGAGACCCATAGAGTAGATGGAGAGAGATAATACAAGTTGTCCATTGAGCTCTATGATGAAGGAAGGTCATTGGCTAATAAAGAAACTGCCTTGGCCCATTTTGATAGGCGATCCCTTAGGTGGGTGGAGTAGGCAGAACAGAATGCTGGGAGAAAGAAGCTGAGTCCGAAGTCACCATGATTCTGCAACTCCAGACAGACGCAGGGTAAGATCTTCCCTGGTAAGCCACCTCGTAGGCTACACAGATTATTAAAAATGGTTTAGATCAATATGTAAGAGCTAGCCAATAAGAGGCTAAAACTAATGGGCCAGACAATGTTTAAAAGAATACAGTTTCCGTGTAATTATTTCGGGTAAAGCTAGCCGGGTGATGGGACGCAGCCCGCCGCTCCTATTGCAACAGCTCTACATGAATGCCCTAGTGCTCTTCATAGCATGCGTGTGCGCACACATACACATACACACACACACACACACACACCACATCCACACATGCACTAACATAAAATGTAATTAACAATATTTTTAATTTGTTATCTTAAAATGGGGTAATTCCATACTTAAAAGGGCACTTAGAGCCGGGCGATGGTGGCGCACGCCTTTAATCCCAGCACTCAGGAGGCAGAGGCTGGAGGATCTCTGTGATTTCGAGACCAGCCTGGTCTACAGAGCTAGTTCCAGGACAGGCTCCAAAGCCACAGAGAAACCCTGTCTCGAAAAACCAAAAAAAAGGGGGGGGGCACTTAGAGGGTGAGAATCACTTTGTGTAGACTGGAAGTTCTTTATCCCCCTTCTTGCTCCTGTCAACTGCTTTGGGACCTTGGGGATGACCTTGCTTGCTGGGGTCTTACTTTTCCCCACAGTCTGTTGGCCACCAGGCTATGAGGACAAAAGGAGCAGAGGTGGTGAACAGGGCTTGGTCAGCTGTGAGTAGGATGGAAATAACCTTCTGGGATCCAGCTTCAGTGAGACAGCATGAAGGGAATATATAGGCCAGGGCTAGCAGCTGGGGCATCCCCTAATAGGTACTCATAGTATGCTTTGTTGGCATTTGTCAACATGATCCCATCATACAGGTGGGAACACAATACCTAATTATCATATGGGTGCCAGAGGGGAGGCATTTGCAGGAAACTGTGTCAAAGTTCACACTTGGGATAGATAAGTCAGGCATCCAAGTTCCAGGAGCACTGTAAAATAAGGTCGGGCAGAGAGTAGGGAGCCCCTGATGGGGTAAAGGAGTCTTCCATTTTGTGCCCAGCTCAGAAAGCTGTCCAGACATGGCAGACTGCAACCTAAAGTGGCAGGGGCTTCCAACAGCTTGCTACTGGGTAACCAAGATTCAATATTTGACTTTTCTGAGGACTTGGGGTTCACATATGTGAACAACTAGAATACTGGGAACACTAAGAACATTAAAATAAGATATCTCTTCAATCCTCTCTAGTTTGCCCTCCTTTCATGTTCCTTCCCCACAATTCTGAGACTTCACTGGTGCATGAAGCCCACTTCATATGCTTTCTACTCTGTTACAAAGATACCTCCACGACTTTCTCTGCTTCTGAAGCTTTGTGCAGCTTCCTTAGGCAGGATTTTCAGAAAATATAATTTGATGGTAAAAATATTTAAGCATTTTGATGGTTACAGTTGGAAAGAATAAAGTATATTGTCTTAAATGTTAATCTACCTCGTTAGTAATAGAAAGGGCTCCCTTTCGCAGCTGAAAATGATGACTCTGTTTGTTAGCAGATTCTGCAAAGGATGACGATGCTATAAAAGACAGCGATGTAGCCAATCATGCCGTGTGCGAGCAAGAACTTCCCAATGGTATGTTGTGGGGTCTTTTTTCAGCTCTTTATTTTTTTCTATTGAGGTGTATGGTATATTAAAAGTCAGATGTGAGGTTTTTCCATAAGAGTAGAATTCTGATGCTATTTCCTTACACCGGCATCTTGGTAAGATACTGTTGCCATCCTCAATCTTTGTCATTCATTACTTTTAACCAAACTGGTGTCATTTCTGTTGTTTATTGTTACCTGCCTGGATTCTATAAGCAATCGTTTTGGAACCATTGAGATGAATATATATATATATATATATATATATATATATATATGATAAGAATGAAAATAAATTTGAGGCAAATGGAGAATAAGCCCAGGAGACTAAATCTCCTTATCCATATCCTTGGGATACCAAGAAGAATACATAGAGCCCACAGAAATAAAGCAATTTATAGGACAATAATAGAGAGAAAAATGTTTTCCTAATGCAATCTAGTTTCCATGCCCAGAATGTAAGAGGGAATATATATGCAAAAGTAATGAAAACTCAAATAAGAACAGACACCTCCATAGCTTTGTATAATTTCTGAAGATTGGTGGCTAAGACAGTCTTGTAAAGTATACAAGAAAGACAAAATCAGTACAAGCAGCATCACTAAAATCCAGCCCCAATCACTAGGAGAAGATCAGGATGGATGAACTGTTTAGCAATCCATTTCTGTACCCAGTAAAGACATTGTTTATGCTTTAAGTCAAGTAGTAGTTTCTTGGGAATACATAGGTTAGGAAAATATACCATCTAGCCATGGTTTCTGAAGAACCTATGGCTTTTTTAAAAACTAAGTGCAAAAGAGGAAACACAATTCAGACTGAGGAAGGCATAATGGGAAGGTTCCATGTGGTAAACAGAACATATGAAAATTGTTTAAATGATAGTGTTTTAATTAGAATCAAAATTATATAACCATTTTTTAACTAAACATATATATTGTTTAAAGGTGACAGAGAGGATTTATACTCTTAGTAATTAAAGTCAAAATAATTTGATATTTCTCTTATTAATATCAACTAGACAACCTAAACAGAAATATACATACACTGTATTCACTAATTATATTATATTTCATGTACTTCTATTGCTTTTTATTACATATGAGCTACACATATAAGTATTCACATGATAGATAGATAGATAGATAGATAGATGTCAGATAAATAGAAATAGAGATAATAGATATATATACACACATAAATTCATTTGAAAAGGAGGCTGTTTTAAGGTGTTAAAGAGTTAAAGTCAATAAAGACTTGTCCAAGGTCCAAGAGAAGGTGACTCTCTAGATTCTGAATCTAAAGCTTAAAACTGCCTTTGTCCTGGGGAATATGTTCAGCAAAGAACATCTGGAATCACATTGCTAAAAAAGCAGAGGGACTCTTAATAGCCCTTTCAAGTATTATGAGTAGAAAGCCCAAAGATACATACAATGGCAGTACAGTGAGCCAGCCAAGGGTCTGCCTTATGAAACCTAATACTCATTTTCAAATTACCTCCATTCCAAAAGTAAATTAATACCAGCCCAGAATTCCGGGTCTCCTAAGCACTGGAGAAGAACACACATGAAATAGTAACTGGAGAAAGAAAGGACCTTATCCACATGAAACAGTTTTTATAAATAATGCAAAAAAAAATAACCAAACAAGTAAAAGGAATCAAGGTAGCCAGAGACTCAGAGATAAGAGATTTTTAGTCTATGAGATGAAAATATTGCTGATATATACAAAGTATAAGACAGTGACACTGGGGGCTGGAGAGATGGCTTAGTGGTCAAGAGCACTGCCTGATCTTTCAGAGGATACAGGTTCATTTCCCAGTGCCCACATGGTAGCTTATAATTGTCTGTAACTCCAGTTCCAAGGGATCAGGCACCATCACGCAGACACATACGCTGGCAAAACATCAATGTACATAAAATAAAGATAAATAACTTTTTAAAAAAGAAAGATAGTGACACTAGATACTCATATGAAAGAATAAAGGAAAGATTGAAATTTTAAACTGTGAATGGTTATTATTAAAAGCAAAAATCAGAAAATAAAGACAAGTCAGAAGTAAAGTATGTGCTAACTCAAATTAACTCAATAAACATATTCACGTTCTAACAGTATTTTGGGGGCATATGAAAGATAGTTTGTGAACCATGGGTTAGATATGAGGAATATATCTGAATTAAAAAGAGCAAAGAGAAAATGAGATGACACACACTAAGGTAGGGAAATGTAATTTATTATATAGTGATGAAGTATATCATGAGCTGAATTAGAGAATAAATTGATCAGCATCAATATTTGAAGAAATTATGTGAGAAACTTTGATAAAAGATTGGGTATGATTTCATCAAAAGTTTTGAACTTGAAGCAGAACAAATCAAGGTAAATCCACAGCTAGTTCCGTCACAGTGAAACTGCTGAAATGGTCAGATTTCTTCAAATGTTATGCACTCCAAGCAGAATAGATGGAAATAAATCTACAGCAAGACCCATCAAAACAAACTGCTGATATCCAAAGATACAAATAACATCTAAAAAGAAACCATCCAATAAATGCTTTGCCAATAGATGACTTTCCAGTAGATACAATGGCAATGCAAAGAAAATACAACAAAATTATAGTCAACCAAGAACTGGAAACCCTGTAGGAAAAGTATGTTTCAAGAATAAGAAAGAACGAATTAAGTCTATTTTACAGGGAATCTCCAGATGCTTCACAGGGGTAGGCAATACTGATTAAAGGTAGAAAGTCAAAGATCTGTGAAAATATTAAGAGGAAAGTAAATTAAATATAAGGCTTGCTTGTTCTTTTGGAAGACAGGAATAGTGTCTCCCTCTATTAGGTCTTTTCCTAATGTCATCGAGAATAAAAATGCTAACGAATGTTTGAATCTTATAAGTTTCAACGATCACTGAAAGTGAGAAAATGAAATGAGTCCTGTCTCAGATGATTTCCTGGGGAATTTACAGGTCATGGCCCAAAGGAAAAGGACTTTGGCAGAGCTCCATGGGCTCCCTGCATAGTGGACACAGAACCGAGAATCCTGGAAGCTTAAGTGTATAGAGTTGCAGGTCAGAGTCATGGGAGCCTAACATTCCTGCATACTGAGAGCAATTGGAGCATGAATGAAAGGCGATGACCACGCTCAGATAAAAGATGTTAAAAAAAAAAAAGATTTGATGCTATTAGTTGAGCTTTGATGATTGGGATGGAGTTGTTGGCTGGGAGGGAGCATGTGAGGGCTTCTGGACTGGATAGTTCTAAAAATGCATAGCCTTTATGTGTGCTTTAGTGGTTAACTTAAGTTCTATACAGTTTTTGTTTCTTTCTTCTCTGTCTTTGCTTTCCTATAACTTTGATGTAATTTTCAAAAAATGGCTAAATGAAGAATGGAGAAAGAAGCAAAGGAAGAATTAATTGTTTATTTTGTTTATTGTTCAGGGTTATACTCATAGCCTAGGTGATCCTAGAACTCACAATGGAGCCTCAACTAGACTTAAATTTGTGACAATCCACCCTCAGCCTTCCACTCTTGGCATTATAGGCATTAGCCACCATGTTTGATATAAATTATTAATGGAAGGCTTCCAAACAAAGATTATAGCGGAAAGCCCAAGATTGGCACATAAGGCTAAACATCCATAGAGGTAACTAACACCCAAATTAAAAATTCTGTACTATGTTTCTAAGAATATAAATTACCTTAAAGAATATCCTTGAAATTTTGTATTTATTTTGTTGTGCATATCTATAATCCTATTACCTAGGAAGTTGAAACCTGAAGATTACAAATTCAATACAAGACTGGGCAACAGAGCAAGCCTCTATCTCAACACACACACACACACACACACACACACACACACACACAGTTATACAAGAATCACAAGTAGAATAAAGTCACAATAGAATTAAAAGAAAATATCTTTATTAATTTCCCCCAAACTGATTATGAACATGAAAGTATGTTCAACAATTCATATAATAATAAATGTATGTAACTTTGCAATGAATGCATATTGTATCAAATGAGGGGACAAAAGTACAAGCAGGTGTGAGCATACATATGTAAAATTAGGTTACTTTATCAAGTGTAAGAACCAGAACAATTTAGTTAAGTTCAATAATATTATAAAGACTTAACATGATAGAGTTAGGAAAAGAAAGGGGGTATTTAAGGAATTACACATCACATGAGAACAGAAAAGGTGGCTTTGGAACCTATCAGTCAAAAGGCTCAAAGAAGAAAGAGTCGGTCATTTAGTACTGATGAAAGTCTGAGCCCCTCATTAAATATTACAATGATGGGATTTAACATGTCAGATGGTGAGATAAGATGCAATACAAAGAAAAACCTGCTGGAAATACAGCAAGGAATTCACAGACGTAATGTGGTCAGCAGTGATAGAAGAAATAGACCACAAACAACATGGGGCGTTTTTAGAAAGTGATTAACAGTGTAGTCCTGCTGTAGGAAGGGGCAGGCAAATCTATGAACCAGACTAACACATCTAGAAGTGAGACCAAGTCCATCACGCAGGCTGGCATTTCACAGACTGATGACTCAGTAAGTGACCTTAAGACAACTAGCTGGATATTTACAAAAATAAATAAATAAACTAGATCCCAACTTCAATCCTTACACCAATGTGAGCTCCAGATGGGGTAAAGATGAAATATGAAAGTAATATTAAACATTAGAATAAAAGAACCAAGGGTTATTCAACACTATAAAGAAAGACTGAGAGATAAATTAAATGCCTATTATTAAGTGGCAGAGGCCGACCAGGAAAAATTATGGGCCATGTGCATCCAGGTACATGACATTCAAGCAGAAACATGAAGATGGGGAAAGATCAAGGGTTTCCAGGAGCTGGGTGGGGGTTGGGGGCAAGTGACTAGGAAGAGATAGAGAAATCTCAGGACACTGAAAATACTCTGAAAGACACTCGGGTGTTACTATGCATTTAGCCAATCTTGTGAAACAGTGTAAC